TGATCTTCAAGGCTGCTTGTTTTTCTGGTCATCTGTAACATTGTAGACTGGATCAGTCACATCATTGAAACACTCTGAAGTACTAGAGGGTTTTGGAAGCCCGAGGTTAACTGTATAGCTATATTTCAGGACCAGAGAGGAAATTACAACTCAAACAATTCTGGATTCCATCTTCAAACCCCTCTCCTTTTCTCCTGGCTCCAAGGAAAAGCCCAAATCCAAAGGGGTTCATTTTCCAGACTGACCTCAAGACACCAGGATCCCCATGAGAATGACAAAGCTGGCTAGACTTGCCTCATTTTTATGACACAAGGCAAGGTGTTTTTCTGGTGCTTCATCTACTTTTGCAATTTCAAAGCCAGTTCACTTAACTCACCCCGCATTTAATCTCAGCTTGGTAGAGTTTCATGCTCTTTCCCCTTCCTTTGCCCTGACAGTGGGGGTGTGAGTCTCACCCAAGGCATGCCTGCTTTCAAGGAAATAATCTGTTGTCACAAACCTATACGTTGTAGGAGATGAATGTGTTTTAGGTCTTAGCAAAGAGCAGAATACTGTAATAGTTCCAACAAGAAACTCTCTCAGCATATAAATCCCAGTGATTACTATTTTCTTGCCAAGTAGATCTTAATGGAAGTGGAAGGTGCTGTACATAGCATGGGTTGCAGCTCTGATCACCAAGAGAAAGAAGACTGGTAGCATCCAGAAATGAATCAGCAGACAGTAGGAACAACTGAAAATTGATAATCACTGCAGTGAATAGAGGCAGAGTTACACTGGTTGTAGATGCTTATGGGGTTTTGCAAGCAGTACTGGAGAGCAGCAGTTTCATGCACACACACAGGCAGACATAAATCCATTTGCAGTAAAGATGCACTTTTTGTAGTAGACAAAAGAAAAAAAAAAAAGTCATATCTGTTGGATAACTCCATTTCTGGGACCGGGAAATGCCCTAAACAGGATTTAATTTACACAAGTGAAATAAACTCAGTCACCTACAGTAAGAAACTGTCACTGGCTGATAGTTTGTCATCATCTTTGCCTTTCTGGTTTTCTCCACAGCCAGGAAGTCGCTGCCTGGCTTCTGGCTGAGTGGTTTTGCAGAGCGGAGATTTGTGGATGACAGAGCAACGGGGCTGTCAACACTTAGTTGAAATGAAGGAAGTGCGGAGAAGCAGGGTCGGGTACAAGCTGGGGTGCCCTGGAGCAACGGGAAAAAGGTTCCGGATCATCCTAGTTGCACAGGTCAGGGATGTCTCTGTCTCTCTGTCTTCGCTTTTTGCAGTTCAGTGCACAGCACAATTTGATTTGCAGCTGCGGAGGCGTGCTAAGCAGCCTGCACCCCTGTGCATTTTGGGTGGTTGAGGTAGTTGGATGTTTTTGGAAGGGGTCCGCATGTACTTGGTGCTTCATCCCGGCTGTGCTGAGTGAAGCTGCACATTTTGGGAGCACAGATTTGGGTCTGCCTCAACCCTCTCTGCAAAGGGCTGTCTCTGGAGAAGGGTATGAGGATGCAGCTCCATGACAGCTTAAGCTGCTAAATGCACCAAGGTAATTAAGTGTGCTCAGGAGCTGCTGAGCTGTAGTTGGAGGTGCCTAAACTCATTCCCAGGGAAAATGCGGTGGAAGAAACCTTTGCTTCCCACCAAGCTATCCCTGGTCTTCTCATTCCACCGCTGGGATGTGTGAATTCCAGCTGTGGTAACAGCTGCAGGAGTTTGTAAAAGGTCCCCTGAGAACTGTAAAATCAACTGCAATCAAGGGTTTGTTTCCTGTTTGAACTCCTTCCATCTTCCAAAATAAAACACACCCTTCTGTGGAAGGGGGAAGTGAGGGGACAGTGTTTGGCAAACAGATCTCACCCTCAGAGTGGTGGTATTTCTGTAACCCTGGCAGACGTGATCTACAAAAACCTGAGTCAGTCTGCAGTGCTGGGGAATGCATCTATTATTGCAGACCAGAGATATCTGGCATGGACAAAGCACAGAGCAACTTCCCAGCAGCTGGAAATTTTAGTGGCTTATCTTATTTGGACATGTTATAAAGTTTCTGTTTTTTCAGCTTGTGGTGAGGCCCCGTGTAGCTGGAGTAACTCTCTGGAGCATAAAGCCCTTCCAGATATTTGCTGGTGGCTGCCAGGGTGCTGGCTGGCTTCACTCACAGGCTGGCTAGGATTTGGGAGGGGGGACGTTTGCCCTCCCTGTCTGACAACTTCGCACTCCTATTTGCACTGATCTGTAGTTGCAGGTATGGGAAGAAGAGGTGTTGACGTTGCAGAGGGGCTGAAAAAATGACAATACTTATTTTAAGCTCACAGCAGCATTGAACAGTGCCGGGCGGGAAGGGCCCAGGCTCTGCTGCAGGGCAGCTCCGGCAGCTTAAGAGTGGAGGCCAACAGGAAAACCCGCTCAGGGGCAGCAGACTTTAACCCATCGTGCTTCGCCTGGCTCTTGCTCCCCATACAGCGCTGCACCCTCTTCTCCCCATCACTGAAAGCATAGCAGCAGGTTTTCCAGCCCTACAGCTTTGGGTGTCCTCCCTGGGCTGAGAGGTGTCACCATTTCTTATAGTGGTCTCCCTCTGTACTGCTGTTTCTGTCTGCTCTGGACCCCAGTAGTATGTGAGGGGGTTGCTGGGTCTCAAAAAAGGTCATCAGATGAAGGAATCGGGTGGTAAACATCATGCTCCGGCAACTAGGATGCTCCAGTGCGGATGGCAGCACGGCTCTGACCTCTGCTGTGACTAACGTCCACTGAGAAGGCAAATCCCTCCCCTCCACATTCCCTCAGCGCAGCTTTGCTAATTGTTCATGAAGAGTGATTAACAGGTAAATCATCCTGAAGTCATCAATACCCGAGCCAGGACATCTAAAGCACTTGTCTGACCTTTTTCTGTAAGAGGTTCCGTGACCGATCTTATTGGCAGAAGCACCTATGTCTATGTGAGAAGAGCTGGGAGCGTCCTCTCAAAGAGAAAAGTTGGTTTGTTGTTGGGTTTTTTTTTAGGGGGTAAGGAGCAAGGAGAAAAGTAAGAAAAATGACATTTGGAGCAATAAAGTAAGCATTTTCCTTAGAACCACATAGTACATGTAGTGTTTTCACATTGGACTCCAGTTAGAAGAGAGTAGATGGTCTTCTGTGTTCACTGGGGAGGTCTCCTGCAACTCCTTCGTGTTGCTTAGTCTGCTTCCATTTGCCACTGCTGTTCAGATTTTGAAGGCAAATTTGCAGGAGGTTGTTTTTATATATGCAACTGCTAGGGCAGGTTTTCATTTGTACAGGAATATTTATTTCCTTTTCTGTGGAGGTGCGCTGGGTGGCGTGACCGCCCTAGCTGTAGAAGAGGCTTTTGGTTTTAGGTTTTTCTTTTTTTTTTTTTTTTTTTTATGGGCACATTCCCTTTATGTTAGATCTCTGGGAACTGGCTAAAAATTATTAGTCCCCTTGAAAACTGCACATTTTCTTTTCTTAATGAATATTTTCTATAGAGCTTGATAGACAGCAGGCTGTTGGGGCTACCACTGATAATTTCAGTTGGTGCTTTTATTGTCTACTGTTCCCTTCCAGGAGACATTTGATTTGTCTTGGCTGTTTTCAAGAATTATTAGTACTGGCTATAGTTACTCAAATCTTTTGATTAGCAAGACACTTAATAAAGCTGTTTATACCCTATTTTTTATGGATGGCTTAAACTCTAGAAATTGCTTTACTAATTGATTTCAGGATGGATTTGCTAGTGGCTGAGGAATTAATATCTGCAGTGGCTCTTATATGACAATTTTTTTCCAATAGCCATATTGTGCTTGGACTTCACTCTTATTTTTAAGAAAATAAATAATATACTTGGCATACCTAACCACAGTTGAGGTTTTTCTTCAAAATATGGTTCTAGCACTATTTCAGCTGTCTCTATTATAGTATTTTTGTAACTTTGTGTTGCTACTATTCAAATCTTTCTTTAATGCTGGATTGTGTATGACCTAAATTAAACTGCAGAGCAGATGAATGGGTCCTTCTAGTTTGCCTGTGCTTTATATTTCGTTGACTACTATAGAGGGAAGGTGTTCAGGCAGCTATGTATCACCTCATGTGTTACGTTGCCTTTCTGTGTTTCTCTACAGCAGCAGTAACGTTGGGATGTCCCTGATCTTGCAGTCCATAGTGGCCATACGAGACTAGCCTTGGTTTGCCGGCATCATGGCTCAAAGGGCAGCTTGGCAGCCTGGCCTTCTGCAGCTCTCCGCTTTCTTCCCTGCCTGCTGACACCTTTTCTGATGGTGTCTTTGCTTTTTCTGGAGTCACCATGCAGGAATAAACAGTTACACATGCAGTCTCAAATGCCCTTTAACACTGGCTGAGCTCATAGACCCATTTGCAGCAGTCCTCTGTGATAGCTTTAAGGCTTAAGCGCCTTTGTCCAGTGCCTGGGTCCCGGGTTGTTTTTTGCAAACAATCTGTTTCTCCTAAATTAGCGGTTTTCATCCCTTGCTCTTGTGTTACAGAAATACATCTGTGCCTCTGGGCTCCTGCTGCTTGTCAGAGCTCAGCATCTCCGGGAGGCAGCTGGGATTTGCATGGGAGGTTTTGACCACTATAATGCATTTGCTTTTCTGCTTGCTGCGGTTGTACATCTGTCAGACCTTCCTCCCTCTGATAGAGATAGGTCAGGTATCGAGCTGTGGTCAGTCCCATACCTCTTAGTTTGCCCTGGGCCAACAAAAGTCTCACGGCTAACATGTCAGGCAGACTGATGGGATTCTTGGTCTTTTATTAATCTCCAAGAAGACTTGCAGCATGTGGGAATGACAGCTTGTTCCCTCGGTGCTTTCCTGGAGGGCATTTGTAAGGTCAGGTTCAGCGGTTAGCCTGAGGTCTAAAATGGGACAGAGGTGTAACACAGGTGCTCAAGTCTGAGGGTGGACCAGGTTATAATGGCTACAAAGCTCGCTGGATCCCTAAGTTTTCAATGACAGGCTTATCTTGGCTACTGAAATTTGGACTTACCTGCATGTGTGAGGCTGTCCTGCCAGGTGGAATCTCAAATCTGTTGTCATCCAGAGAGGGGAGGAAGTAGGACCTAAATTTTACCAGAGTCCCTGGAATGGCCTAACCTGTTTAAAAAACATCTGAACATACTTATATGGCACCATATTTTTTTCTCTCAGGCTGAATTCAATCTTGGATCCTGCTTCTAGGGGACATTTAGAGGGGCTGGCAGTTGCTGGTGCTGCTGGTCTTTCGGTTATAAAGGCACAAACAGTCCCATGAGCAGCACCCAGGCTCACCTTTTTTAAAAAGGTCCAAGTGCTGGGTTAAAGCTGGACTCCCACCTGCTCAAAGACCCTCATATGAATCTGCAAAACAGCCCTACATGAAGAGGCAGAAAGGACAGCATCTGATCTGGATGTTTGTGGTTGCATAGTCTCTTTGGATTTCAAATCTTCGAGACCTTTGGGTCTGTGATTTTAAACTGATCACATGAAATGGCTTTAGAATGAGGAAGCCTTTCTGTCAGGCTTGTTTTGCAGAGGTTTGGAAAAGATTCCCAAGAAAAGTCCTCTTTAGGGCAATTGGCCCTTCCCTGTTTTAAGGACTTGGAGGAGGCATAAAGCGGCAGTGTCCTCCTCGCACCTCATGCCTGTTAGAAACAAAGCCCCGGGGAGAACATCGGCAGGAGGGTCCTCAGCTTCCCATGACTAACCCTGATGATGCCTCGTGAGGTTTCTCTGGGGCAAGCCAGACACTGAAGATCTATGAGAAGATCCCCAGTCTGACACCCAACAAACATCAAGGGGAGCCTTTGACTTGTTCACTGCTCGTGGCTTAATGTGAGAGAACTGCTCCCCTAGGAAAGGGAGAAAAAGAACTGCAGTAACTGCCACCAGCACTAAATGTTTATCTCATTCTTTACACGAAGTTTTCC